ACAAAGCTCTAAAATCATAGAGCTAAATTGATTCATCNTTTGTTTGATAAAAAAACATCAAATCTGTCATTGATATGTGTTTTCGATCAGATCAGATAAAAAAAAATCAGATCTGCGTTTTCGCCAATTGAACCAAATCTGAACCAATCATCAGAGAGCTCGCAGTGGATCTAGTCGTCGGAGAGTTCTAGTGTCTGTGTGTGTGCGTTTTGCCGGAGAACATGCAGTCGACGAAGAAGGCGAAGACTTTCGTNTATACTACTATAAAATATCAAGATATGTAAAAAATATTTTTGTTCCACCTTTAACCTCCAACAATGCAAGTGTTAGATTCTTAGCCTTTAAAATCAANTCTGAGAGAGTCTATGGAGAAAGTCTGTGTAGAGAGAGAGAAAGACGGAGAGAGTGATGAGATCTGGAAGGACAAAGGTAANTGTGTTTGATAAAAAAAACATCAAATCTGTCATTGATATGTGTTTTCGATCAAATCAGATAAAAAAAAATCAGATCTGCGTTTTCGCCGATTGAACCAAATCTGAACCAATCATCAGAGAGCTCGCAGTGGATCTAGTCGTCGGAGAGTTCTAGTGTCTGTGTGTGTGCGTTTTGCCGGNTGTTCTATGTCTCTCCGGTCATTGTTTTATGTTCTATGTCTCTCCGGTCATTGTTTTATGTTCTAATAATTGTAAGATTTATTTATTGAATTTAGACTGAATAAAGCAATTACCATTTAACACTTTTATCCGTTTTAGAGTTTCATATTCCAGAGCTGGTACNTTTATTAATATTCGTTAAATAGCTCTCAATTATATTGTATCGTATCTAACTTTAAATAGACAATATCTATTTAATGAGTATTGAAGAAAAAAAAATAGGTGTTTTAATTTTTTTTTAAATAGTATTAAATGAATTGTCGTAAATGTAAAATATACGACACAATACAATTGACNTTTGAGAGAGTCTGTGGAGAAAGTTTGTGTAGAGAGAGAGAAAGACGGAGAGAGTGATGAGATCTGGAAGGACAAAGGTAAAAGAAAAAAAAAGTTTTTATACTATGGCTTGTTTTTGCTTCTAAGAGAACTCGAAAAGGGGACCTCATTAANCCTTCGATCTAAGCTATTAAGGGTATGTTTGGTTTGTGTTTCAAAAAATAGTATCTAAAAATAATTTTTGATAAGAGTTTTAAGAAAGTGTTTTTAAAAATTTTTAGATTACAAGACCTATTTGATTATATATTTTTGAAAATAATTTTAAAAAACAAAAATTATAAAATTTGTNACACGATATAAAAATAATATTACATGACACAAAAATATTACAATACAACAAAATTGAGAAGTATTTAATGAGTATTAATGGATGAAATTTTTTTTTGATTATAAATGTAAAATATTTAAATTTGAAGGTACATTTTCCAATTAGCCATAATGGCAAAAAAGACGATAGCTAACCCTCGGTGCACATTGATATAAATTTATGTCTTTCAACGTATAAATTGATATTTTTATACTTTAAAGATGCAAAATTGAGATTTTAATCATCTTTCAGGTATAATTTGAGATTAGCCTTTATATTTGAACATCATTGACATTCCCTGTCGTTAAACCACTTTTTTTAACCAAAAAAATTTATCTAAAATATTAAATTTGCATTTACATAAAACCCTAAATAATGTTTCTACATAAAATTCGAGCTGATTAAATTTTATTTTTCGTATTAAAATTTGAACATATTAAATTTTTTTTTTGACGTATTAAAATTCGAACCGATTTGAACTCAACTTGAACTATTAACGCTGATTAAAATTCGATTCGAGTCGATTAAAATTTATATTTTTTTACATATCAAAATTTGGATTGATTAAAATTTAATGCAAGTTGATTTAATCAACTTGAATCAAGTTTTAATTAATCCAAATTTTAATACGCCAAAAAAATCATAACATAGAGAGAGTTTTATTGAAGATATGCCTATTTAGAGAAAGTGTAGATGAAATTTTTACTAAAATATATCTTGGACAATAGAAGGGGGTGTCCTTGAAGATATGATAAATTAGAAGGAATGCAATTGAAATTTTTCCTATTTTTTAATTTTTTTTTTATATTTTTTGCCTATTATTTTGGGAGATTAGATAATTATTACAGAAATTTAGAAAGTTATACAATTAATTTTTTTAAAATATATATATATATATATAAGTTATATTTAATTAATAGGACAGATGAGTGGTTAAATGAGACATATGGTGAAGTGTAATTAGATAATAGCATTTATTGTGAATTTGGGATCAAATAAGAAGAATTATAAGAAAATAGAAANACTGTTTATTGGAATTTATGTTTGTGGAAATTAGGATTTATTGAAATTAGGTTATAAGTGTGATCAACAAGTTCAGCCAAAGAGTCAGTTAGATGAAGTTTCCCCACTAGACGAAGTTTCTGCAACCTTTTTTTTTGGAAATATTAGTATTTGCCAACAAATTTTGCAGGGAAAGGCTCAATGATGCAAGTGTTTGTCGATGAACTTCCCAACTCTTTGAATAATAATAAATTTGTTAAATTATTTATCAATACGAGCAGGTAACAGAGAGCTATTATTGTTGGGTTAGCCTCATTTCCACTCTATTGTTTATTAAGTGAAGTNAGTGTTTATTGGAATTTATGTTTGTGGAAATTAGGATTTATTGAAATTAGGTTATAAGTGTGATCAACAAGTTCAGCCATAGAGTCAGTTAGATGAAGTTTCCCCACTAGACGAAGTTTCTGCAACCTTTTTGTTGGAAATATTAGTATTTGCCAACAAATTTTGCAGGGAAAGGCTCAATGATGCAAGTGTGTGTCGATGAACTTCCCAACTCTTTGAATAATAATAAATTTGTTAAATTATTTATCAATACGAGCAGGTAACAAAGAGCTATTATTGTTGGGTTAGCCTCATTTCCACTCTATTGTTTATTAAGTGAAGTTGTCAAGAACACAACCCTTAATAGTTAGAGCAACTCTTTTCTTGGACCGGTTGGAAGACATTACCGAAACTACCTAGAAGAAAATGATGACATATCATCAATTGTGATGTGTAAGATCCCTGAGGAAAGAATATGATGAAGCTGAGCTGCTCTTTCAAGTGGCTTTAAATGAGATGTTTCAATTGTTTGTAACAGAGGTGCCCTTTTTTTTAATCCTCAATTACTATATTTGATGTTTCAAATATTATAATTGAAGATGCTTTAGTATTGCAGGTGGTATTTTTGTTTCTTTGTCAAAGCAAAATAAAATTTTAAACTGAATTGTGATAAATTATGGGTTTCACTTTTTTTTCATGGCAGGTGAAAGTAGGGGACTTTGGGAGTGGAAAATGGTCGTAGGGTGAGTGAGAGGTTAGAGTTAGAAGGTTTATGGAGGGGATTTTTCAAGTGGCCATTAGCATGGACAACATGGAGTAGCATTGACGGAATGATGGTCATTTGAGTAGGTGGGGAAGGGAACCCATTAAGTTGGCCACCTTACTAGAACACCAATGATGACAATGACTGGTATGCTATTAGTCTCCTTTAATCTATTTGTTAATGGTTCTTTAATATTTCCATTCATTAGTCATAGTTGTAGCATTGCTCCACTCATTTTCTGACTTATAGTTGGTTTTTAATTCTATTGCAAAGTGGATTGTGAAATTGAATATTGTGATCTAATGCAACTTTCAACCAAGAGCTCCTATTCTTTTTTGGCCTCTTGGAAATACGTGGTGAGTCAGAATTCACTAGTTTAATTACGTATTAGATAAATATATTCAATTTTTTTTTTTTTTACTTTCTCCAACTGTGTAATAAGTGTTTTTCCTAATACTTTTACAGGATAAGTTGGATAATCATATTGATCTTATACCCTTGCTTAGATAATGGATCCTGAAATTCACAAGATTCTTGAACGCTTCAAATTTTAGAAGAATTAAAACTGAGGATGAGATGGTTAAAAAGTTATCGGATATTGTAGAAAGTGTGAGGGAAAAGTGCAAATGAGACGATATTTTGCTAAGAAGCTTCTTGAAGATGGAAAACACATTAGTATTGTTTACTTAAGTTGAAAATTTGGCCCAAGTTAGTAGAAAAATCTATTAACGAATAATGTTTTACCTAAAATACCCTAATCCTTTTGTAGATAACCAATTCTTATGAAACTCAGTCCATCAGTTAGCCATGTGCCCTTTATATAAAAGCTATAATGTTATTCTTTCCAAAAAAAAAAAAAGTAAAGTAGCCAAAAGACTATTAGCTCCTAAATATTTGTTATGTCTATATGCTAATTAGATTATGAAATTTTCAAAACAAAAAGGGACCAACACATTATATAGAATGTTTTATTTTGCATTCTATATTTTTTGACATTTTTAACTTTGTTTACATTTTCTGCTAAATTTCCTTAACTTCTTACATTTTTTTACATTTTATGCTAAATCAATTATAGATGTATAAAAACATTATACTTATACATACATAATTATAATTCAATTATAATTAAAAATGATTCACATGCAATACATGTGTGCATCAACTAGTGTCTAAAAAGTGTAGAAAATTTTGATAAACAAGTAATAATTATGAGGTTTGAATGTGGGATTAGGGAAGAGCACTGGCCACCATATATTCCTGGGTACTTACATAATAGACTTGCTGGTCAACTGGCCCGTTTGGAGACTTAAACTTGTCCATCTTCTTGAACTCTTGCTTTTGCAATATGGTATTAAGTAAAATATATTCAAAATTTGTTTTTTGTGTTCCTAAAAAAAAAAAAATTCACAGAAAACAGAAGATATTGTAAAGGAAATAAGACCAATCCCATTGCCCTACCTTCTAACTTTCAGAGATACATGCCATTCAAAGCCCGAGGGGTCTAGAGGATTGGAGGTCCAGTTCATTGTGAGAANAAAATCACAGAAAACAGAAGATATTGTAAAGGAAATAAGACCAATCCCATTGCCCTACCTTCTAACTTTCAGAGATATATGCCATTCAAAGCCCGAGGGGTCTAGAGGATTGGAGGTCCAGTTCATTGTGAGAATGTTAATTTGAAATGCTACTGATAAAAAGTTTGAAGACAACATATTTCATCCTCTGTGAATCAACCCATTATAAACAAGGGAATTAACAACTGAATGGCTAATTGTCATCTTTCAGACTTTAGCTTTCCGCTTCCCTGGTAAGCGTTTTCGTGCTAGTGACAGCCTGGACCTCGAAGATCCATCTGTTTCCCCTTCACTATCTTCACTGTCCAAAACAATCACTGTTTCAGATGCTAGCGATCCTCCTTCCTGTTGTTCGATCCCTCCAGCAAATTTTTCATCATGATCTTGCTTAGGCTGCTGCTTACCATCATACCTGCAGTCCTGCAGCAATAGCATTGATTTGGATGATTTTGCCGATGGCTTTTCAGACTGCAAGGTAGGCATCTGGTTGCCACCATTGTTGCCCACTTGCAATTGGCACAGAGGTTCCAATGGCAGCTTCCCACGAATACCAAACAGTTTTTTAGAATCTACATTTGTGGCACAGCTCCCTGCTTCCCCTTCATTGTATTCACTGATTTTTGAGACCAACGAAGACATGGATGATGCTGTAGATAGGCTGTAGGGGTGTGCAACCATCAAACCTTTATTTGCAGCCATCTTCTCCTTATTATCCTCTTCCTGATTTTGAGATGAGGCTAAAGGCCTCAAAGAAAGCTTCCTCCCAGCCAAACCTAGCTTCTTACGTCCTACATTTTTTAAGCCACTTGCAGTTCTGTCATTAAGATACATTGGATTCTGCATTTCGTTATGGCTTACAGCATGGTGAATTGGCAAGGTCTCATCAGATACATTAACATGAGAAGACAAAGATTTAGGCAAAGTGCACATTTTCTCACCATTATCATGGCTTCTTTGGCGTGAGCGTGAAGATTCTAGTAACTGCTCTCTGACAGGACACAACAGCTTCTTTGAGCTTGTGCTTTTGCTCTCACTCATTGAATTAAAAAAATGCTCTTGATGAGATTGTTGCTCATGGTAGTTGCTATACTGCAGCGCCGGTCTGGACTCTGCATAACTGACAGAAATGCTTTGGGGGTTCAAAATGGATGAACACTGATTTGCCACAACATTCTCCTTTTCATCAACATTTTTCATCTGGGATGGACTCAATGATGCCAGTGATAATTTCCTCCTGTTCCTTTGTAGCTTCTCATGATTTTGATAACACTCAGTGGACTCTTTATTTGACTCTTGTTCTGGCCCTTTAACTTCCATTTGGCTTTTGGAGACATGAGCAATATTTTCCTCATTGACTCTCGTATCACTTTCCCTTTTCTGACTTGGCCCTGAAGACTCGAACGACAACTTCCTGCTGATCCCACAGAGCTTCTTATCACTTACAAAGTCCTCATTAACTTCATGCTTCAATGTATCCGATCCTTTAGGTTCCATCTGTAGTAAGTAAAAGTTAAGAATTAAGAAGTGCTAGTGCAATTCAAAATACTAGATCGTATGCTGTTTATTACCATGCTTGAATTTGAGATAATTTGACGGCTTTGGCTGCAACCATGATCCTCACTTGCTCCAGCCCTGGCATATTTCTCAGTCATAGACTGTGCCTTCTGGTCAAAAGCTTGTCTGTTATATTTGTACTCCCTGCTCTGCACATTAATCCAAAAGTAACATAAAATCTAAAAAGACAACTTCATCACACCATGCAGCAACAATTTGCAAAAACGTACTTACCGCTTCACACATTAGGCCATCATCAGGGTTGGGTTCACTCAACAACAATCCAATGCATGTTAACACGGCTGAAATGTTTAGAGATGGTTGCCATGTACCCTGCTTTGATTGCAAGCTACCATTGTTATGAATATAATTTATTACAATAAATAAAGTCGTTATGATGAAAAGGTAATTAAAATGTGGCATTGGTTGCTTTAAAGAATCTACCAAGTCTACACCGAATAACATATCCAGTCCATTGAAACAAGCATACAAAAATGACAAAATCCCATGAGTTCCACTGGGCATCAAACTTTTTCATCGTACAATTAATTGTTTTCCTCTTGTTTTACACACACACACATATACCCCATAAGTGTTGGGTTTTTTTTGTTCATTCATAACTGTTGGTTGACTGACATGAAAACTGGATGAAAAAAGAGGAAGTTTAACAGAGATACTGAGGTGGTGAAATAAAAAAAGGAAAACAAAAGGTAGTACAAAAGTCTCAATTGCTGGATAACTCCAAAACTTAAAAAATAATGCATCTTCCTTTTCCAATTCAGCTTGTTTTGCGTGATTGAGGGTGGTATTTCGTTAGAATCCTGAGTTAATTTTCATGAGAAATGATAGTAATTGCACAGTTCAATTAAGTTGTACCAAATCATTATGAATGACCATTCCTAGAAGCCACCCAACTGACAAGGAAGCTAAAACAAGAAATAAAGCAAGTGAACAAACAAACATTGTTGACCTTATCAATATGAAATAAATGCATCATCAAATTATCCTTGTTTTCCTATTTCAATTCCATTTGATTAAATTGATGATTATTCAAGTAAAAAAATGTGGCTGCTTAATGAACCACAAAGGTGATATCGACGGGGGACTGTAAAGTGGCAAAGTTTAATGGTTGCAGCAGGGATATTTAAGGTGAAAGGTGTACTAAGGCGCAAAGGTCCCTTGGGGCCTAGGCAGGCAAAAGGCAAGGTAAGTAAGGCGCAAGTTATAGATAATATGCAAATGATTTTTTTCAGAATATGACGTATCATCAAAAAACACAAAATATAAGCAAATATTCAAAAAATGGAAACATCATAAAATATCCAAGTTGCCAAATATTCTAAACTGAGGCTCATTTCATAAATACATGCCATTATTGAACCGTCTTAATTTAGATAAACAAAACCTTTTATTACAGAGGCAAAACTTTTCTTAACTTTCCAATTTGTGCAATATCAATCCATATGAATTATGAAAATATAAAGCATTCAACCAACAATTTTACAAATCCAATTCAGTTATTCACAAGAACATAGCTATATTATTTATCAAAATACAGCCAAAAAACAATCAATTAAGTCCAAATAAATAAGAAAAGTGTGACAGTTGAATTGAGAGAAGAGGTGAATCTTAAGGCTTTATTTTGGCATTGAGTTGGGTCAAATTAAATTTTATAATATGTTTGGGTGTATCACCTACACGGCTACACCCAACACATAGTGTACTTGCAAAAAGTTATTAACCTGCATGCATCTGGAAGAGAAAAAGACAACCAAAAAGTTTTCACTGAAGCATGTCTGATTCTGATAGGCTACTTGGGCCTTGTGCCTAAACACACTAGGCGCACCTTAATCGCATGGCCTTGCCTTGTTTTGATGAGACGCTATAGCTGAGACTTCTGCATCTTTGGCCTACGAGCAACCTTAAGCGTGCCTTTAAAAAAAACCAGGTTGCAGGATTTTGTTATTTTCATGTGTGCATTATATCAACATTCAGGACGGACACAGCTATGGCGACCAGCGAATCAAGGAACACTCCTTTTACTATGAAACGAGGTTCATCAGTTGCATAGTTACTGCCACAAGAAAATAAATGCTACAATATTGTCTCAAAGGAGTGCATGTCATTTTCAAAATTGCTATCTGTTTTCATATGGAAGCATCGTGTATACTTCTGATCAGGAAAAACAGGTGAACCATAACTTTCCATCCACACCACAAAAGCTTAATGAATTAGTTAAGCTTAACCAGGAAAGCTTATTCCTTAACACCTACATCTCGTGCTCCTCAATATAAATAATGACAAAGAAGACCGAATTCATGCAAGTATATTCGAGTTCCCTAAGGCAACTCATTTTTGGCATATTAAATACCATTTACCAAAAATACCATCGGTCTGGTGAGGACACTTTATATCGACCTATGCAAATACTGTGTTGAGATCCATAAGGTAGTAGATCTATGTTGGCTAAGCTATCAAATTAGATTTGATCATCTTAACATGAAACTATCCCCCAAGTGTTGGTTTACTGATGTCGAAAAGGGATAAAAAAGAGGTACTTGTAATAGTGTAATAGGTGCACAAGTCAGCAATGTAAATCAAAATATATTTTTTCCTTTTTCGATTCAATTTCTGTTATGGTGATTAAAGGCAGTACATCAGCAACCTTTGTAACTTCCATAAAAAAATAACAGAACTGCACAGTTTTAATTAAGCTGTGTCAACTCATTGTGTACATGACCATGGTTAAGAGCTTTTGCATTGTGAAGGCTTTGAATCAAAATCAAATGAATAGTCCTAAACATTCACAAAAGAAGCGCCAATCGCTGCTATTGGAAAACGAACCTTTGGGGGAAGATTGAGAATGTCTAGGCAGATCCGCCCTCCATTATCAATATTTGGATGATAGATAGGAGTAGCAAAGGTCACAATTGGAGGCTGAAATGGATACCTAAAAACCCACAAAAATTCTCAATTCGCCCAGAGAAGTTACACTTACCAAAATCAACCAAAGTAAAAAATATAAACATTTAACGTACGATTATCAATACAACAATCGCTGTTTGCCCAAACAAGAATAAGCAGAAAAAAAAAATGGAATAGTAAATTACACCTTTCGGGTATTTGAATCTTTATCTTAAAGACCCCCTTAGCATAAACAGTTCCTTCAGGACCTTCAATCTCTGTGAATTTAACGGGAAAAAAATAAAAAGAAAGAGAGACACACCCACATGAACGCACACGCACATGCCTAGATCAATAANAAATGGAATTGTAAATTACACCTTTCGGGTATTTGAATCTTTATCGTAAAGACCCCCTTAGCATAAACAGTTCCTTCAGGACCTTCAATCTCTGTGAATTTAACGGGAAAAAAAGAAAAAGAAAGAGAGACACACCCACATGAACGCACACGCACATGCCTAGATCAATAACTTCAAACATACATCCAAATATATCTATGCGTGTGTGCGTATGAGAGAGAGAGAGAGAGGACTTACGGGCGTCTATGGAGGAGAGATAAAATGAAGAGAGGTCAGAGTCAGGGTAGAGGAGAGGGAAGGAGGCGGCGGGAGGTGGGTCGGTGAGGAGGAGCTTGAGCTCCTTCTGCATTCGGAAATTCAGTCTCGCTGCTTGTGCCATTTCGCCACCAGTTTGGTTTCGCAGATTTGGGTTTTTAGTACTGGGATTGGGATTTTGTGGTTGGGGCAGATCAAAAAGCGCGGGCTCAGAAAGAAACGAAAATGAAAAAGTAAAACATTGGGTAGTGTTGAGAGTGGGATTTGAACCCACGCCCTTTCGGACCAGAACCTTAATCTGGCGCCTTAGACCAACTCGGCCATCTCAACTTTGTNAACACCTCTTCCATAACACATTTCCCTCTCAATTTTCTCTTTCCAAATTTAGTCATTACTGTTGAAACTACTTGAGAAGTTTTCAAATAAAAACTTGTTATTATTAATTAAATGAAGTTACATCTGGATTTCTTGTCAAAGACCCAAAATCAATGAAGGATTAGTAGGGTTTTGTAAAAGGAATTGTGCGGGTTGAAACCTCCTCAAACTAGTTTGAGATAATAACACCTGACTGAACAAGGGGTGAGATTCTTGCAACAAGAAACAAGATTAGAAGGGAGGCTGGAGACGTGTCTGGTGTATCCCCTTCGATGTCTAAGTCAGTCAACAGTTAGCGTTCAAGGCAAAGATGATGAAGCACTGTAAGTTTATTTGAGCATATGTGTACTTGAGGTCCAACCCTTTGAGCTATATATACATTGAGAGATGATGACAAGGAAACTTGTGAATCACATCAAGCCAATAGGTCTAATATACTACGACTAAAATCTTCCTTCGAGGTTGTCATATCAATAATTTTTCAATTCTCGAGCTGCACATTTAGTACGCCTATGAACATCTTACAAGTACTTAGGGAACCGAGCATTCAATGATGCCCGTCAAGAATTTGTTCAGTTGCGTCAATCATCAATTGAGAAGCATCGAGCATTTATGGTTAAGTGTCGAGCACTTATTGAGATGCCTCCCAAGATATCAACCTGTTGATCTACGTCAGCAAGAGTCATGCATTCTTCCTTCCTTCACGAGATTCGTTGTAGATCCCGATGTTGATGTGACAAAATGGTTGTTTGTCCTCTGCCACACATCGCGTCAATTACTATGCATAGAGCAAGTATTCCAAACTGAATTAATGCTCAAACACCTTTCTCAATCCCAAGAGACATTGTATCCCGAGTGTGAAAGTAGCTCAATACAACAAACGAGGTCCACATNCGTCTTACAAGTACTTAGGGAACCGAGCATTCAATGATGCCCATCAAGAATTTGTTCAGTTGCGTCGATCATCAATTGAGAAGCATCGAGCATTTATGGTTAAGTGTCGAGCACTTATTGAGATGCCTCCCAAGATATCAACCTGTTGATCTACGTCAGCAAGAGTCATGCATTCTTCCTTCCTTCACGAGATTCGTTGTAGATCCCGATGTTGATGTGACAAAATGGTTGTTTGTCCTCTGCCACACATCGCATCAATTACTATGCATAGAGCAAGTATTCCAAACTGAATTAATGCTCAAACACCTTTCTCAATCCCAAGAGACATTGTATCCCGAGTGTGAAAGTAGCTCAATACAACAAACGAGGTCCACATGTCATATGACGCCCCTAAAATCGTGATCACCCATTAACCAACGAAAATATTCGTGAATGCCGCATAATCTGACACCACGGACAACATCTCTTTTACCGGGATCACAAAAACACAAAGTTTAAGCAGAGTCTCCCTTGTACCGGACACTTCCAAATGCACAACATGTGTACACTTCGATCATATGATCCAACTGAGATCCAATATACAACAATTTATCCTCATTTAATGTTCATTTATGTCATTTGAACAAAAAAAACCCATGACCCATGGGCCTAGCAAAACATTNACATGATCCATCTGAGATCCAATATACAACAATTTATCCTCATTTAATGTTCATTTATGTCATTTGAACAAAAAAAACCCATGACCCATAGGCCTAGCAAAACATTTCAAAATTTGAGATTTTAACAAAACCTACTGGTAGAAGATGTGNATATGATCCAACTGAGATCCAATATACAACAATTTATCCTCATTTAATGTTCATTTATGTCATTTGAACAAAAAAAACCCATGACCCATGGGCCTAGCAAAACATTTCAAAATTTGAGATTTTAACAAAACCTACTGGTAGAAGATGTGCAAGATCTACCAGTAGAAAAGGTTACTGGAAAAGTTCTACAGGTAGGTTTAGCCCACTGGAAAAGTTCTACCACGAAAATTAAAGTTCTACCAGTAGATTTAACCTACTGGACAAGTTCTGTCGGTAGAAGAACTCGTCATTCTACCGGTGGGTCTCACCAATTTCCACCCATTTCCATCCTTTTTTAATTTCAATTTATTCCAACCTTGTACAACAACCCAACTCATATAACATGACATTTTAAATAAAATACAGTTCATGCAACTTCGATACAATCCTTTACATACAATTAATGTCCCAAAAACTAGATAACATCTTAGTTTTACAAAAATATAATTTAAAGTCACATTTCGATTCTTCTTCGTCAATGAGGGCCTGAGTGAGAGTCATCTATCGGCTCATATCCCACACCTAAAATGTTGTCCCCATAAAAGGGTGAGTCACACTCAATAATGTATCTCCTAAATAGGCTACTCCCCAACCTAAATGTATATGAAATGCTCACATGCAAATTCAATAAGCAATAATCATCATTCAAGAATATGCAATTCAATGATGGATCTTTTATGACATGTCATGTTATGAGATGAGACTCACACATGCAACTCAATTCGAGCTTTTACCAGCTCCAATCACTCATGCATTACCATGAGTATAAAATCGAGTTCTTTCAAGTCATTGTCATTGATGTTGTACATCTAATAGTCTTTTTTTAAAAATAAACCATGTATCTTTGTTGGGTAGCAGAATTTTGGTGTCTCACTGTCGGTTCTACACACCGATACACTTTTTTAGACTTTCACCAGTGGGAGTGTATAAATCAGTAACCGGATCTTGCATCCGAGGGAGTATCTAGTCCTTCTTGCTATACCTGACACAAGTTTTTCATGCAACCGTACGATTCTGTCGAACCTTGGTTCGATTGTACCGAGTCTACTTATCAACTATTAAAGATGGTNCCCATGCATTGCCATGAGTATAAAATCGAGTTTTTTCAAGTCATTGTCATTGATGTTGTACATCTAACAGTCTTTTTTTAAAAATAAACCATGTGTCTTTGTTGGGTAGCAGAATTTTGGTGTCTCACTGCCGGTTCTACACACCGATACACTTTTTTAGACTTTCACCAGTGGGAGTGTATAAATCAGTAACCGGATCTTGCATCCGAAGGAGTATCTGGCCCTTCTTGCTATACCTGACACAAGTTTTTCATGCAACCGTACGACTCTGTCGAACCTTGGTTCGATTGTACCGAGTCTACTTATCAACTATTAAAGATGGTGTTTGATCCAACAACATGCACACACACCCATACTCATGTCAAATGCCCATAAAATGGGATGTTTCTCGTGCTTATGCAAATATATATGTACAATTTACAATTCTCATCATTATGCAACTAAGATCTCAATTGTTGTTTTAACAATATGTTCCATATGTCATGTGCACAATTTGAATATTTCAATAACCATCAATAATCACAGTGTTAATATATCATATGCATATACCGACATCAATCTCAAACATGTTATTCCATAATCTATGCTAATAATATACTTAATTCACAAAGACACAATATAAATACATAACACGCCCACATAAACACAATTTTTCTAAGAAATTACAAGATAGCAATTTCTACACACCAATTCAAGCTAGANCGTGCTTATGCAAATATATATGTACAATTTACAATTCTCATCATTATGCAACTAAGATCTCAATTGTAATTTTAACAATATGTTCCATATGTCATGTGCACAATTTGAATATTTCAATAACCATCNTCGTCTTTCGATAACTAGGTCGTTTTAAGGTTAGACAAGTGTCAAGATACTCAAATCTATACAGTGTGTTCGAATCTTGAAGATTTTTTTTTATAAAAAAATAAAAATTAAAGTACAATTATTTGCTTAATTTTTGAAGACTTGGCCATATAAAAACAACATTTTATGCTCAAGAATTTTAAATCAATGNATAACCCTAGATTGAAAATAAATCTAATTAGGGAGAAAATCCTACCTCTTGAAGCATAAAACAAGATTGTATAACCTTCAAAAACACTAACCAAGATCAACCCCTTTAATTTTTCAAAATCTAGTCTCGAAAACTTCTGAGAAATCTGTCTTTTTTTTGGTACGTAGACGTAGCCCTTCATCGCGTAGATCAACTTTAATACTTGGCCTGAAAGATTCCGACCGAAAGAACTTCATAGATCGTAAAGAGAAGTTAGAGTTTTTTCTCTCTCTTCCTCTTTCCAACAAAATNGCTATTGAATTAACAGTAATGTTATACCGACTAAATTTTTAGACTAATTAAAAGTTCAAATGACATGACAGTTGATTATTTGGAGTCTTTATTGGGATCCAAATGATATGACACCAAATAAAAAAGTACAAGTTAGTTGTCATGTCATTTGAATTCTTAATTTGGTTTAAAAATTTGATCAGTATAACATTATTGTTGATCTAATCGTAAAAAAAGTCTGAAAAGAGAAGAGCCGCACACGTGGCGGACCCACATATCTCTTTACTCGCCAGTGCACCAAAGAAAAATCTCTGAGCCACTTGTTTGGCCATTCTATCATATTTGAGCTTNACAACCCTAGATTGAAAATAAATCTAATTAGGGAGAAAATCCTACCTCTTGAAGAATAAAACAAGATTGTATAACCTTCAAAAACACTAACCAAGATCAACCCCTTTAATTTTCCAAAATCTAGTCTTGAAAACTTCTGGGAAATCTGTCTTTTTTTTGGTACGTAGACGTAGCCCTTCATCGCATAGATCAACTTTAATACTTGGCCTGAAAGATTCCGACCGAAAGAACTTTATAGATCGTAAAGAGAAGTTAGAGTTTTTTCTCTCTCTTCCTCTTTCCAACAAAATCTGAT